CGATAGTAGCCAGAGCGTTGAACATTAAAGTAGAAATAATCGTCCGTAGCGACCGCATCAGGAAGTGTTAAGTTATCGGAGTTCTTGAGCCAATATTTTGGCACAGTATTCTCTGCTGGGTTGGCGCCCGTTACATATGTGATTGGAATATGCCATCTCTGGGTGTCATTGCTTGGTATTCCGTTTGGGAGTAAGTAGCGTTGCTGCGAGATATTGATTGAGGTACCGTTTCGTATGGCGCTCAACACCGGGTAGCCCGCTTGAACTATCCACGTATCCATGATTTCTTTGACGGTGAGGTTTCTAGGAAGTGTCTCACGTTCGTGCCCGAACTTTGTCATCACATTCCACAAATCGTCGTGAACGGCGTTTTTGTATTGGAAGTCTTTTAGGTATGTTCTCAATGCTTCCTTGAACGTTTCTTCGCCCAAGAAGTTTTGCATCATCCAGATCACTGATGCTCCTTTCGAGTACGAAATCGGATCAAATATACGACGAATGTCGGAATAATTTGCCACGGCAAACGAAATTGGGTGTGAACTCAAATCAGAGTCCTCTTCCATTGCCTTTTGCATTTCGTTGATTGAAATAAAGTCCAAGAACCTCCATGTTGGCTCGATCTAATCAAAATATTAGATACGGAAATGTTTTATCAAATTTTCGAAAAATTGAAACCGCAAAAAATATGATTTAATCGTAACTCACTTCATTGATTGCGACGTAGCTCATAAATGTTGCGAATCCTTCCTTCAGCCAGAGATCGTCCCACCACTTTGGCGTGACTAAGTTTCCAAACCATTGATGGGCTAACTCATGACCGATGATTGATGCCACAGTCTCCGTATGTCCGGCAGACGATCGATGATCTTCGTCTGTAGGTACCAGCAATGCCGACTCTCTGCAATAAACCAAAAATTAAGCTATTTAAACCGGGTCCGATAAAATAAATCGATTGTTATTAAATCATTAATATAATCATATCTCAATCAATGAATTCAATTGCTTCATTAGCCCTGTCACAAGCAACATGACCACCTTGTTTTTGTTTTGGCCTCGAAACATAGACCAAACCCAGAATGATGGCTATTGCTTCTTATTCTGATTTAAAATGTGTGACACTTTCAAATGGCATCTTGACTTGAATTGAAATTTCATCGATGCTAACGGCGAGCCGTTAATTCAATTGAGAAATTAAATTGTAATTTGTCGTTGACGAACTGGCGTGTGATATTCTATTATATGTTCTTGTTAAAACCTATGCTCAAAGCCACACATTTTTATTTATGTGTGACTTAAAGCGTGATAATAAAATATTTTATGATTTTATGTGGGCACTTGGGTACTACTATTATGCACGCCGTTCCGACCGATTCCAAATTCTTCTATATGTTTAACAATTTGAAAGATATTCATCTCATACGCAAATATGAACAGCAGAATTGAAGAGAAAAAAAAAATCATAGACGCAATTATAAATTGTAATAAAATAGCTCAATAATCATAATCCAAATGGAAGATGTCCCATTCATGTGCGCAAATACAATGGGGGTTCATCAACACCACTTCACAAATCAGATATGACGATGCCGACGACGTCGTAACTAATGTGAGATGGGTTGACTGCTTATTTCGCGCAATTTTCGTTTTTACGACTCATGTGCAATTAAATCATTTTATGGTTGAATGAATTGAGATCAATTTAAATTTCAGTAGATGAGTTATCTAGCCATGCCAATCCTTCGCGACACAATGATGTAATTACAGATATGGAGAACTGACCTGAATGTGATGAGGCCCCAGTTTTCCATCGCCGAGAATCCAAACTCTGGCACAGCAACCATGTCAATTTTTGGCAAATCATATCGAATACCAAAGTATTCCTCGAAAAATGGCAAAATTTTGGTTGTCAAGTCGAAGGCAAACCTTTAATTAAAAACAATGATCGTATTATTCATGTATCGAAGTGATAGACTGGAAATTCCTAGCTTACTGTGTCATATCGGCGACCTCTTTGCGACTCCAGATGTTGATTTGTGGCAATTTTGCGTCTTTGATCGCTGTCTCGGATGCGTTCGTTTTGACTAGATTGGTGGCCATAAACGCAACCAGATAGGTTGACATATGTGGTGTAATATGGAAATCTTC